TGGTCTTGAGCTCCTGACTTAAAGTGATTCACCTGTCTCAGCTACAGGCATGTGCCACCACACCTGGCCCTCTTTGTTCTTCTTTATGGGTGTTTGGCTATAGTTTATAATCAAATTTTAAAATTCTAAACAGTATTTCTGTAAAAAACAAAAAACAAAAAAAAACTATGCTATTGGATTATAGAGATTATATTGAATTTGTTCACCACTATAATTTGTATTGACATCCTTGAAAAATTAAATTTTTGACCCCTGAGCAAGAAAATGTTGAGGAATGTGTTTAATTTTCATTTACCTTTTGATCTGCTAGTTTTACTTTTGCTCATAATTTTTAGTTTCATTCAGTTTTTGTCAGAAAACTGAATAATTTTGATCTTATTTATTTGTTGTTGTTTTGAGATAGGATCTTACTCTGTCACCCAGATTGGAGTGCAATGGCATGATATTGGTTCAATGCATCCTCAACCTCCTTTGCTCAAGTGATCCTTCCACCTTATCCTCCTGAATAGCTGAAACGACATCATGCACTAACATGTCTGGCTAATTTTTTTGATGATTTGTAGACACAGGGTCTCACTATTTGCCCAGGTTGGTCTCAAACTTCTGTCCACAAGTGATCCTCCCACCTTGGTCTCTCAAAATATTGGGATTATAGGCATGAGCCACTGCACCCAGCTAGTATTCTTAAATTTAATAACATTTGGTATATGTCCTAACGGAATATACCAGGTACAAATAGGAATATTGTGCTTTTTACTAGAGAGGATCTCTTGCTTTTGACTGGAAAGTTTTGTATGAGTCTGTTAAGCCTCTTTGGTCTATAACATGATTTGGATGTCCATGTTCTCAAAACCTGTGACTGGCTCATTTTATTTTGCATCGTGTCATTGAATTTTCACTTTATAGTTGTCAGAATATTTCCTGCGTTTTAAAATCTGGGCGATATTCCAATTTTTCTTTGTTTTATTTTGTTTGTTTGTTTGTTTTTGAGACGAGTCTCACTCTGTCGCCCAGGCTGGAGTTCAGTGGCTCAATCTTGGCACACTGCAACCTCCACCTCCTGGGTTCAAGCAATTCTCCTGCCTCAGCCTCCGGAGTAGCTGGCACTACAGGCACGTACCACCACGCCCAACTAATTTGTGTATTTTTAGTAGAGGAGGGGTTTCACCATATTGGCCAGGCTGGTCTCGAACTCCTGACCTCTTGATCTGTCCATCTCAGCCTCCCAAAGTGCTGGAATTACAGGCATGAGCCACCACACCCAGCTTTGACATTCCAATATTTTTATATTTCAAATTATGTATACTGAATGATTTGGTGACAGAAATTTGCTTGCATTTGCCTGTTGGCTTCAGTAAAAATGTTGCAGTAATTATGGGTATGCAAATCACTCTTTACATTACCATATATGTGAAAGTTTATATATGTGCAGCATTCTATTTGATTAGTCTACTTTTTCACCTTGAGACTCCTACCAATTTGTTTTAATTCTGTAGCTTGTTTTTTTTATTGTTGTTGTTTGGGTTTTTTTAATTGTTGTTGTTTGGGTTTTTTTTGTTTGTTTGTTTTATTTTTGTTTTTTTTTTTTTGAGATGGAGTCTCACTCTGTCACCCAGGCCAGGCTGTAGTGTAATGGCATGGTCTCAGCTCACTGCAGCCTCCGCCTCCTGGGTTCAAGTGATGCTCCCACCTCAGCCTCTTGAGTAGCTGGGACTACAGGTGCATGCCACCACACCTGGCTAATTTTTGTATTTTTAGTGGAAACGGGGTTTCAGTATGATGGGCAGGCTGGTCTCAAACTCCTGACCTTGTGATTCGCCCACCATGGCCTCCCAAAGCGCTGTGATTACAGGTGTGAGTCACTGCACCTGGCCTAATTCTGTAGCTTTTTAATGTGTTTTGAAATCAGAAACTATAATGGCTCTAACGTTGTTCCTCTTTTTGAAGATTTTTCTGTACGTTGTTGTCTCTTGAAATTTGCTATACTTTTTGGGTTGCTGTTCATAGCTCTTCGAAAATGCAATGAGAATTTTGAAAAACATGCATTCAATGTGAAGATTACATAGAGCAGCATGAACAGTGTCACAGTAGTAATCATTTTAACCTTTGAACAAGAGCACACTCAAGAGTGTGTTACTTTCTTTTTTTTTTTTTTTTGAGACAGAGTTTCCACTCTTGTCACCCAGGCTGGAGTGCAATGACAGGATCTTGGCTCACTGTAACCTCTGCTTCCCAGGTTCAAGCAATTCCCCTGCCTCAGCCTCCCGAGTACCTGGGATTACAAGCGCGTGCCGCCACACCCAGATAATTTTTTATATTTTAGTAGAGATGGGTTTCACCATGTTGGCCAGGATGGTCTCGATCTCCTGAACTCATGATCTGCCTGCCTTGACCTCCCAAAGTGCTGGGATTACATGCGTGAGCCACCGCACCAAGCCTGTTACTTTCCATATATCTGTAAATTTTTCAGCTGTTTCTATTATTGTTTTACGGTCTTATTCCATTTTGGTCATACAAAGTAATCCATAAAATTTCAGTTAAAAAAATTTTAAGCCTTTTTTTTTTGGCCTAACAGGTGAACTATCAAGGAGAATGTTGTATGGGCTATTGAAAAGAGTGTATATCCTGATGCTGAGGAGTGTTCTCTATACCTCTGTTAAAAATATTTGTTTTATGTTGCCTTTAAGTCCTCTGTTCACTTACTAATATTCTGTCTTGTTTTACTATTGTTATAGAAAGTGGGGTATTGAAATATCCTACTGTAATTATATTGCTCTCTATGTTGCTTTCTATGTGCTTCTTCAATTCTGTCAATATTTGCTTCATTTATTAGGAACTCTAACGTGAGATACAGACACACACACACACACACACACACACACATTTGTTATAGGTTCCCAGTAAATTAATCTATTATTGTTTAATGTTCTTTTTCCCTTTGGAGTTTTGATTTCAAGTACATTTTATAAAGTATGACAGTTTTTGGCTTAAGATTTCGCTTGTATAATGTTATTTTGACCTCTTCTTTTATTTGGTTAATGTTTGCATGCAATGTCTACTTCCATCTTGCCACTTTCATTATTTTATTAGATCTCAACTGCCGCTTGTAGAAAGGCAAGTTGGATCTTGATTTTTAAATTTTCAAATAAATCCTTTTATTGAAAGTATGTCTCTTGATTGAAAAGTTAATTTTATATATATTTAAATACTTTTCTAAGGTATGTCTCTTGATTGGGAAGTTAATTTTATATTTATTTAAGTAATTTTCTAAAGGAGAAAGACTTACTAATGTTATTCTATTTATTGTTTTATTTTATTTTTGTCCCTAATTTTCTCTTTTTCTGTCTTTTTTGTGTCTTTTTGATTTTTGTATTCATATGCTTATACTTTCTTATTTTCTTTTGTGTATCTATACGGATATTTTCTTTCTGGTATCTTGGGGATTGCATAAAACTTAAAAGGTACAGCAATATATTTTAATCTGGTAAAAAATTAACTTCAGTTGCATACAAAAATTCTTCCTCATTACATCTGCTCTCAACTTGGTTACTGATATAGCTAATTATATCTTTTTGTGTTGTATATTCGTTAATAGATGATAATTTCTATGCTTTTATCTTTCAACTTTTAGAGAAAAATTAAAAGTGTTTTCTGCACCATTATGGTAATGCTGTGAAATTCTGTTTTGTGTATGTGCATATTTTTTCCCAGAAAGTTAGTATTTACGTGTGATTATTTGTTGTTTTTTATTGCATCATGTTATTTTCAGTAGAAGGAACTGCTTTCAGCATTTTTGCTATATAGGACATATGTAGTGCCAATATACTTTCTCAGGATTTAATTATTTTAGAATGTCTTTTACTTCTTATTTGTTAGAACAGTTTGCTGATGATATTTTTCTCACTCGACAGAATTTTTTTTTCTAGGACTTTGACTATGTCACACAGTTGCCTTCTTGCCTGCAAAATTCTTGTTCACAGATTCACTGGTTATAAGACTATGCTAATAAATGACACATCACTTTTGTCTTGCCACTCCTAAGATTATCTTTTTGTCTGTGACTTTTGAAATTCTTCTAATATTTTTGTGTGTTATAAATATTTTGTGTGTGTGTATCCTAGTTGGTTTGTTCAGCTTCTTCATATTTATATCATTTTTATGGTTGTTTTCTGAAAGTTTAATAATGTTTTTGATGGGCCTGTGCTGCCCTAATATTTTGTATACATTATAATCTTTGATTGGGATTTGGACATTAAAAACAAGCTACCTGTCACAATCTTTATAATGTAGTAGCTTTCTCCTGGCATAGTCTGAAACGAATTGTCTTGGCTAGAGATTCTGTGAGTCTCTCATACGTGTCCTTAGAATGTGTCTTGTCTGAAATTTTTTTTGTGTGTGTTTTTTTAGTTGAGTTTATTCATATTTCTTCTTAATAGTCAGTAATCACTTGATACACCTCTTCCCTGTCTGTAATACTGCAGTCTCTGTGGTGCTGCACCATTTGTCTTTGGTCTCAGCACTCTCAAACTGTTATTCCAAAGTATATCCCCATTTATTTCAGCATTTTGTGTTACAGGAGACCGAAACCAGTGTCTGGTAAGACCCCTAGAAGCCAGAAATTTAGATGTATGTGCCAATATTTCTCTTGTATTTTAAAATAGAAACCAGGAGTTGGCAATTTGCTTCTGAAGGCACTGTGTTATATTAGGGGGCAGGAATAGCTGTATTGGTTAAATGTAATGTACTTTTCTTTTCCTTTTATATGATTCTGCATTGTGCTCACCTGTGGCACTGCACACATTTAACTCATTTATACATTTTCCACAAATGTATTTTGACCCTTAAGTTTTTGTTTCATTTATATATTTATGAAGAAATTAGACCCTGTGGTATTTTGATATGCTATTTTGCTTATGTCATTTGTATGCTTTTATAGGTTTGATTTGTATGTTTATCTGAGCCTAGTAAGTGGAGTAATTTGTTGTTTTAATTTCTTTTAGTTATGCGTTCTCATTTTGTTGAAGAACTTTGGCCAGAGCAAAACATAAAAGATTCTTTCCAAAAAATGATACTGAGGAGATACAATAAATGTGGACATAAGAACTTACAATTAAATAAAGGCTGTAGAAGTGTGAATGAGTGTAAGCTGCACAAAGGAGGTTATAATGGACTTAATCAATGTTTCACAACTACCCAGAGCAAAATATTTCAATGTTATACATATATAAAAGTGTTTCATATATTTTCAAATTCAAATAGACCTAAAATAAGACATACTGGAAAGAAACCTTTCAAATGTAAAAAATGTGGCAAATCATTTTGCATGCTCTCTCAACTAACTCAACATGAAAGAATTCATACTGGAAAGAAACTCTACAAATGTGAAGAATGTGGCAAAGCCTTTAACTGGCCCTCAATCCTTAGTCAACATGAGAGAATTCATACTGGAGAGAAACACTATAAATGTGAAGAATGTGGCAAAGCATTTAAGCAGTCCTCAAGCCTTACTAGACAGAAGAGAATTCATACTGGAGAGAAATACTACAAATGTGAAAAATGTGGCAAAGCCTTTAACCGTTTCTCAAACCTTACTATGCATAAGATAATTCACACTGGCGAGAAACCCTACAAATGTGAAGAATGTGGCAAAGCCTTCAACCGGTCTTCCATCCTTACTATGCATAAGATAATTCATACTGGAGATAAACCCTACAA